CTGCACAGAAGGAAGCATCTATCTTTTGCAAGCTCACCTAGCACCGACCACTGAGCGGGTGTCCTATAAAAAGAAAATAGTTCCTCAACATATTGTCACTCTGACCTCGTCACATATAGATGTTTGGTCATGCACTTTCCATGTCCAGATACGACAAGCAAGGTACCCTGGGCGCATTGGTTGCTGGCGTTCTGGGACATCATGTTAAGTACTGCTTGTTACATGCACTGTCTTCTTTCAAAATACACTTCCGTTTTCACAGGAAATTTAACATTTACATATACAGTAGTCTCTTTCGAAATAAACACACTATGTCAGTTTAACACCGCAAATCAACGTGACACGAACACCGCTCTCCCAGGTGAAGGTAGGTGTTTGTTGGACCCATCCACCACCACTCCTGCCTGCCAAACTTGGACTTTCGCCACCTTAACTTTCATTCTGATCCCATCACGTTTCCCCCTGACACCGCCGAGCGCCGTTAAACTGTAACAGCGACCACCCACGTATCATGTCATTGTTAAAGGAAAGCTTTTGTCATCAGTAGGCTTGTTCGGGATGAACTGCGCCTCGCATGGAAAGTAGACAAGATCAGGCAACAAAAAGCTGCAGTGAAGTCTGACAGTTTCCCAAGAGTTTCCAGCAGCCCTTAGTCTGTACAGGAAGTCACAGAAACACTCACATCCTGTCCGATATGATGTCAATTTATTAAAAAATGTTATCAGACTCATATATCAGTTTGTCCTCAGTCTCCAACTTTGTTGATTATGATAGACTGTTTAATTTATTAAAATGCTTTACAGATTATCTGTAATTAATGTTCATGGTTCAGTCTCCACTTTACATGAATTCTCATGTAAATCAGCATCATATCAGTTTGCTGCCGCAGAGCAGTGCTGTCCCCTCAACTACACAGACAAAAAAACAAAACAGGACAACAGCTTTTATTAAAGATCAGTCAGATATAGTCAGGGCTTCACATCTGTACATATCCTCACATCCCACTGACCACAAGTCTCTGTGTTGCTAAATACTTCAATAACTTAACAGTCAAATTTTAATATATAATAGACTACATATATTTAGTCTCTGACGACTAAACTTCACCATCAGCCGACGACTTTTTCTTGTCTTTCTTTGAGTACCACAAGCTGAGTGCCATCTAGTTCCATTGAATTAAAGAGAAGGCAGACATCTCTACAGCCGATATCTCCAACACTCGGCAGCTCACACCAAAACGATCTATATAGATAAATAGCACTAAGAGGAAAAATATGTATTTTTGATTTTGGGGTGAACTGTCCCTTTATGAACCCTGCACACCCCTGGTCCACCCTACACACTTCTGTTGCCTGATAAGACCTCTTCTCAGGACTACTATTATTGTTGATCAATAATAGTCCTAAGACCTCTTCTCAGGACTATTATTGATCAACATGTCCTACACGCAATATATTAATCAATGAATAAATGTCTGTTCCAGTTATTATGGCTGCCAAACTCTGACCATTCTTATTGGTTTGTTGTGTTTGATGACCTGGTATAAAGGTGCAATCAGACAAATTGTGCTTGGTATTCGATTCAATGATGAACAGAGGCAGAAAATGTTATTCTGATGGTGAACTGTCCAACAATATTCACCTCACGGATTCTGTCTGATTGACTAGCAAAAATGCAAGGCTGTACAACATCTTGACACAACGAGGTAGAACAAGCACAAGTGTAATCGATAAAATGAATGATTGCTGAATTTCATGCGGCTGCTTCAATTTTATAGTCTTGAAAAATGGCACATGTCGGTTGAGTCAACTTGAATTGATGGCTCACAGCAAATAAACAATACACCAGATGAAGCAAGAGCGATGTGTACAACACAGACTAGAAAAATACATATATTTCACATGGTTGTAGTAGCTGGATCTAAAGAAAAAGGCTCTGCTCTGTGCACACGTAAAGAGTTGCAATCTGGCTTTCCCTTTCAACTAGTGGTGACATGCTTTCTCCATACCCTAGGCAGCAGCAACCCAACTGCCAGAAGAAATGTTGGCTTTATATTCCTGCAAACCACAAATATGCAACATTTGTACATTATTATTTTGCAGATATGTTGAAACTTTATGTTTCAGCAACACTGTGGTAAATGTGTGTTTTTTTTAGGCACAAAAACACTTGGTTATGCTTCTAAAAAGAGCATGTCTTAGCCTAAAATATCACACCACAATCACACACAAGCTCGCTAAAAAAAATAGTGTAGTTGGTCTTTGGTCTCAAACAATGGTCTGCAGTGGTTTGCAGCTTGGCAGCAGTCTGGCCATTCATTCACAATTCTCTCCACCTCCAGATGAAAAAGTGCCAAGCTGCAGACCACTGCTTGAGACTAACAAAACCAGTTGTATTTTTGCAAGACATTGCTGTGTTTGCTTTAGCTTTTAATGTCCAATTATAGGTGTTGTGTAGCATCCTATCAGTTTGTTTCCATCTGCTTTTTATGCTTCAAATGTGGGTGTTTCGTGGCGACCTGTTGGCAGAGATAGTGGCACAAAAAGCTATTATTTTTCACCAAGATGTTGCTGCCTTTCTTGCCAGGATTATGCCCCCCAAACAGGGTATTTCTAGCCAAAATATTATAATAATAATTTTGTGCCTAAATCTAACCACATGTTAACCACAATATAGTTGTGTGTGAGAGTGTGAGATAATGTGTCCATGGTTTGCAGAAACATTCAATGCCAACATTTTCTCCTGGCGACTGTGCTGGCAGCAGATGTGTTGCGGCACTTTAACACTGCCTGCACTCTTCATAAGTGGGTTTTCCTCCCCTTGCTACTGCATAACAAGCGACATCTTGGCACGGTCAAATGGAACACAGCCCCTGAAAACAGCTATATGGGGGCTTTTAAATGCCATCCAGGGAAGTGATATCCTCTGAAGCATTTAGTACATACAGGAAGAGGTAGATGCTTAAGTGGAGGGCTTTCTTCCCCAAAGCGGACCTCTTCTCTCCGTCTCTTGATCACTGGAACACCTGGGACCCACAGTGGTCTCTGTCATCTGTCTTGTTTGAACTCTCAGGCAGTAAACTATTTTCCACTCTGCCCACCAGTAGTTCTCAGTCCTGCAGCCGCTTCAGTCACAGTGGTGCCCTCTCGGGAGCTGCTCACCAGCACTTTATCACAAGCCACCTAAAATACCTTTATAAAAATACTTTCTTTTCAGAAGCGTGTATATTTCTCAGTGTAGGCATAGTTTTCCCGCCCACCATCCAGATTCCCTCTGTCATTTTATACACTGACATTGCAGACAGGTTATGCCATGTATGAATGATTACTCAAGAATTGCTGTGCCCCAGTTGCACACTACATTTACTAAAATTATACATCATGTACTCATCTTCACAATTCTGTTTCTGCAGGAGAAAGCAAAGTACTTATTATAAAAAAAAAATATATAAAAAAGACACTGCCAATTTCAGCTGTGTACACAGAAAAAAGAGAGGGCAAAATGCTTTTACAAACAATTTTTCTTTGTCTATCCTTGAAACTATCCAGTTAGTTTATAACAACTTGGGTCTTATTGTAGAGACCAAGTTTGTGAGATTGCTGAGATCCTATAGGGGAAACAGGCATTTATACATAACTTAGAGAACAATTACTTACCATAGCAGGCGGCATGGTGGTGCAGTGGTTGGCATTGTTGCCTCACAGCAACAGGATTCCTGGTCTGAACCCGGGGTGGGAGCTCGGGCCCTGGGGTGGTGGGGGAGCCCTTCTGTGCGGAGTTTGTATCCTCCCACAGTCCAAAGACACACAAGTTAATTAGTGACTCTAAATTTGGCTGTAGGTGTGAATGTGAGTGTGAATGGTTCGGTTGTGTCTCTATGTGTCAGCCCTGTGATAGTCTGGTGACCTGTTCAGTGTGTACCCTGCCTCTTGCCCAATGTCAGCTGGGATAGGCTCCAGCCCCCTGCGACCCCCAACAGGATAACAGTTACTGAAAATGAATGATTGAACCTACCATAGTTGTGTTTCTTACCCCATTGGACTTTGTTGTAGCTATTTTATTGTGTTCTGAGACCATCCAAATGGCATCCTCTGAGCTACAATTGAACACACTCAGTCATCTGATCAGTCTTTTCAGCAGAAAGGGTCAGAAACAAAATGTAATATTGAAGCTTAATATATTCTAAAAGAAATATGTGATTAACAGTCACCATTGGACATTTAAAACCATTTAAACCAAACAGACACTACTAAACTGCAAACTTATGACATGCAGGCAAGCACTATTAACTGGGCACACCACTGAGCTACATTCTTAAATATTTTTCAGAGACCTTTAAAAATGATGCCAAATATGTAATTTATTTATAAATTTGCTGCACTCATCCAACGAGCAGGCATTAGGTACAGAATATACTGCATGTATTGTTGTTAAAAAAAAATTGTGGAGAAATTGTCATATCTAACCTTGAAGTCATAAAATCCACATATTCCCTTATTCTTCTTTTTCAAATTACTGTACATGACTTTTAAATTTGCTTTAAAAAAGCTGCGTGCTTCACCAGGCAAAGCAATAATAAGATGACGAGCCAGTTAACATTTAAAGTACTGTCTTTATACCATGTGTGGTATATTAGACACAGTGGATGTATTTGACATTCTCTGATGGTGTTATGTAACTTTGAAACCATAATGTTCCAGTTCTGGGTGAGAGATGGACTGAGATATGTGATGCAGATTCTCCTCTGTGAATTAAAAAATCTGACAGTCTCAGGATGTAATTCACCTTTACGCGTTCAGTTTTAGTTGTCTGTATGTAAATTCCTGATAAATTAATTTGCCAATGGGAACAACAACGTAAACACTGATTCTTAATTCAAACTATGATTGACAGCATGTCTTTAAGATAGCGGTGGTTACCATTAAATATTCTGCACTTGTCTGATAAATGTTTGCTGTAATTGAGTCCTCAGGCGGTCTTTGATTTTGCATCATTTTCAGTTTGTTTTGCAGTTTGGAAAAACCGCCACATGCGCACTGTGACCAACTACTTCATAGTGAATCTCTCCTTCGCCGATGTCCTGGTCACCATCATCTGCCTGCCTGCGAGTCTCGTGGTAGACATCACAGAGACGTGGTTCTTTGGAAAGACTCTTTGCAAAATTGTGCCTTATCTGCAGGTAAGAGATCCACTTTGAAATCTGCTTTTTCAAATAGTATATTTGAAATCTTGTTCTGATCTGAAACACTTGTGCGTAAATCAGTAAAGTAGGTGTGTGCAAAGATGAGTGATTGTTACAATGCAACAAAGCAAACCAAACAAACAGGGGAAGGAAGAGAAGGATAATGCAGGCAAGCTTTAAAGGCTTCCCAGCCCAGCAGCTCAGGTGAACCTCCTCTCACTGATGCCCTCCACTCCACCTGGCTTCTCCTCAAAGCTGGAAGTCAGGGGGGATCATCAGACAATACAAGACCTGTGTTTCTATTATTCTTACATTTTTTTCTGTATTTATGAGGGAAAAATAGATATCTATATTTTTTCAAATCCCATGGGACGTGCACTTTGTGAGACCTTTGATGTTATCCCATGGTGATTTAATGAGTGCCTTGGGCAAATCTTTTGCTTTCCACATTTTTTAAATTCCATTACATCCACTGTGCCAACACATCTGCCACAAACAAGCATCCATTTGATATCACACTGCAGGCTTCGACGATGTGTGCAGTACCTCAGTGTTGAAGGAGTGGAGTGAAATCCTACATTATACTGCACAAAGCCCGCATCCTATACAACAACAAATCCTATTATCTTCAGTTCACACACCTGTATCAAACTGAGAACCTCCATCATATCACAAAGAATTGTGTGGTGTGCACAACATGATCTGGATGGATGCAGCTGTCAACAAAAACTTTAGAATTTATTCTGCTGCACTGGCTGCCAGCTTGCCAAACACATCACACCACATGGCACTGAATTCATTCATTCATTTTCCATAACTGCTTATCCTGTTAGGGGTCGTGGGTGTGCTGGAGCCTATCCCAGCTGACACTGGGCGAGGGGCAGGGTACACCCTGGACTATGACAGGGCAGCACTGAATTAGCAGCCTATTTAAAGTCCTTCATGGTTACATTCACTCTGCTGATGTGTTCTAATCACAGACTGTAACTTTTTCAGCTACAAAATTCACCAGGGCCATCTCATTCTATTTTCATTTTTCCCCCCCAATGAATTCCCACTTGGGAATTACTTCAGTTCTTCCTGTATTTCATGTGACATTTTGCAAGTTGTTTCCATGCTGCAGTGTTACATCGCCTCAGGGGGGACCATACCCCAGAAGTGAAACTGTACTGCTACCTCCATCTGCAGCACAGTATGTTGTACTCCCAATGACGCAACTGATTCCTGAAAGAACTTGTGAAACGTTCCACGAAATCGTGTCATGAATAAATGCTGACTTTTTGAAACTGCAGTCACATAGTTTAGGTATTGGGTTTGCAATTGCAGGTAATCGAATTTTGTAGCAAACAGGAGGGATTGACTTAAGGCAGCACAAGAAAAATAAATTGCTAAAATAAGAATATATTTTCATATCTATTACTCAGCTTCTGGTACATTGAATTTATGGGGGAAAAAAAGGTTGTTTTCCTTATATGTCTCCACAGTGAATGAATTATTCAAACACTGAGAAAATTCTCAATAAATTAATTAAGTCATGGGGGTCTGCATTAACAAAAGCAAAACTATATCAAAACATACATTCACAAACTCTCACACAACTTTGTGCAGTATAATACAAGTCTTATTTACCCAGTCTTATGCTCACTTCCCAAACACATGCATTTTCACACCACTGAGCAGAGTTCAAAGACATGCCCTTGCCCAGGTGTAAAAACGCATTTGTTTGGGAAGCCTCCTTTCACTTCTATTCATCAAGAATTTTCTCCATTTTCAGCTTCTTTGTTCACCCTGGAGAAAAACATCTCTACGAAAAGAGACAACGCTATTCATACTAACTTGGATTCATGTCAGTAAATATGAGTGGACAGGAGTGTGAGCGTGAGCAACGGTTCTCAATGTGACAACCATTTAGTTTGACTTTTGTGGCTGGTAGTCTGCACTTCTTTTTTAAAGTTTTAATTCCAACCTTGGTAATGAAGTAATATTTTTCACAAGGTTGTCCACTTTTATATGATCTGCATGAAACAGCTCGATAAGAACACATGGGGCGAAGTATCTTAAATGCGCCTTTAGTGATACATGTCTGAAACATTGTACTGTAGTTTCACCATGGCAAATCCATGTCAATAATATCTGCCATTACATAACTACGTAGCCTAGTATTAGTGCAGTCACATCTTGTTAGCACCATGTTTGCTCATAAATTCTACCTTACATCTTTCCTTGACCTCATGATGTTTACCATCCAAGAAAAGTATTGAGAAAAATATTGAGGACATTGAGGTCGGGATTGTATGTGGTGCAACAAGCAACAAGGAAGTGCTCCGACTGTTTTTTGTCTCGTAACTTGCTGTTTACACAGGAAGTCAGGATTTGTAAATGGACATCTGCTGCTTGTGATCACATTGTGCCTACATGTGATCAGATATCTGACCAGGACTGACAGAGCCGAACATTATCTTTTTAATCTGATATCTGCGGCGGATATAGTGCTGTCAGGTCATATGACCCTCTCAAAATGTGGACATGTGTCCCCAGCTTATATGTAACATATGATATCTGTATAAAATCACCAGGCTTATATTTAAATTCCTCTCCAAAGAAGGACAAGATCACAGTGTGCCTACAGATCGGCTGCTCTTGATTATCATATCCTACAGGCTTGTCCACTCCCAGTGGTTTCTGTGTTCACCTCACGTTCAGTGTACTCAGCCTTTAAGGTCACCACCAATTTCGAGGCTATCATACAAGCCCAAAGTACCTGCCAATCTGTCCAGCAGAGGACAATTATGTGAGGATTTGTCCCTTTCTGCTGACAAGGCACTGTTTTCTCACCTCTTTTTCAGACCTGCCAAATGAAGGAAATTAGTCAGCAAAGGTGATTTACTTCACCGCTGACATCCTTAAGCTGAACATGCCAAATGCTGGAGCTGAGCGCTTATTTCCCACAGGACTTGAACTCACCAAATCCCACAGATTTTCATCTCCCACATGAAATCGGTGGCGCCTCTGTTTGGACTCATTGCAATTCCTGTAGACACCAGCTGAAATAGGATGACAGCATCACCAGAATAGTCAGTTTTTACATGCAATTGAAATCTCATTTCATCTGGTATGACTGTCTTCTCCAAAATCTCATTAAGAGCAAGGCAGGTTTGTGATTCAGATAATGAAGAGAGCAGACTGCTCTCCATCAAGGAGACAAAGAAGATTGTCTGTGATCCCCCCCTGCCCTATCACGGTTTGATCACCATAATGCCACTACAGTTCTGATATACTGGAATAACTCAGCATGTTCTTGATCTCCACAGGGGATCAATCCTGTATTGTGAAAGCAAGTGCAGCCATTGTATTTTGGTGATTGCGAGTGATTGATATTCTGACTCCTTTGTAATGAAAAAAAAAAAAAAAACTTGATAAAATCAGTCATTGTGGTGCTCCATATCCCCCTGATGCCTCCGGTCATGGTTAGACTCATCATGTTGACAAATAGATGAAGGATGTTTTGGCATTGAGGCTTTTTAATTCTGAATATCTGTTTGAACTTATTCTTATTGCAGACAAAACGCGTGATGATTAAAAGCCTTAAAAACAGACATTTTAGATCTGCCTAACCTTTACCACGGAAAGCAAATCGATTTAATCTTCTAAGAAACAAGAAATGTAATGCTTTGTCATCTCTCTGTTTATCTCTAAACACCCCAGGCCTAGAAAGTGATGAATAGATAGACTGGTTTCATCTATATAACTGTTTTCTTTTCTCCAGACCATCTCCGTTTCTGTATCAGTCCTAACACTGAGCTGCATCGCCCAGGACCGTTGGTATGCTATCTGCCACCCCCTGATGTTTAAGAGCACAGCCAAGAGGGCCCGCAAGAGTATTGTTATCATCTGGGTTGTGTCGTGCATCATCATGATCCCTCAGGCCATTGTGATGGAGTGCAGCAGCCTGCTGCCTGAGCTCACAAACAAGACCAGCCTGTTCACAGTGTGCGATGAACACTGGGGAGGTTAGTTTGCACAAATCTCTCTCAAACATGACAGCATTTTGCCAAATCTCTCACTTGTTGTCAGATGCACGGGTTAAACTGTGATCAAGTCACTAAATAAAAGACAAAAAAAAAAAGAATGAATTTCAGTGAAATGTTTCTTTGGCAAAGGAACACAACCCTTTGAGAGCAAATCAGTGAGCGAGGCTTGTGCCATTTAGCTGCTGTTTTAGAATTTTTAGAGCACCTTTCACAGGGTTTGAAAGGATTAATAAAGTATGATGAATGACTTTGCTGAGTCCAGATAAGCAAGTCTCTGACTAAGGGAAAGAACTGTGCAAGAGAAAAAGCTTTTCAACCACCTCACCTTCGTTAGGTTACAGTAATTGAGGCAAGCTATTGATTAAAAAGCTATAAAACACTGATTGCTTACTTTACTGACACAGGACGGTTAATGAAAAACTTTGCACCCAGACTCCTGTCTGTCGGTACATTTAGGCAATAAAAGCACTCTGGTTAAGCTCAGAGAAAGATCATGATTACGGTTAAATGTTAATTTAATGTTTATAATAAAAATTACAATGCTGTTGTCATTACAAATGAATACTGTGTTGCAGGAGAATGTTGATACATTCAGTATCATCATTTTTGGGATTTACCAAATATGTTAGCAGCATTTCCTCATTATGTTAACAGAAAACTTAATTTGCTTGGCATTATGTTTCCCTCAAAAACGTTTTTCCTGTTTCAGATTAGTCATATATTATTAATTAATTTCTAGGAGACAGGGCATGACCGAAAACACAAGAGCAAGCGTGTAAGGAATGGATCAAACAGTGCGCCTGTTGTAAGCTACAAACATATTAGCAGGCCAAGCTAACTAGTTTACTACTTATATTTCAATCAGGAGAGACAGAAGAATGAAGTAAAGATAATATTAATTAATAATAATTAATATACAGAATATAAGTGTACAGACGAACAGGTGATTTGTGCTCATTAAGTTTTAACAGTCTTCGTTGCTTGGATATTTTATGATCGAGGGACATTTGAGAGGCAGCAGGATAAATCCCCCCCATGGAGTCTAGACAATGGTGGTGATGGTGGCTGATGACTCTGAGGTGGATGAGGTTGATGAATCTGTAAAGACTAGGTGGTATGGGGAGGTGGAGGGCGTGCAGCAAGACAGAACTACGGCAGAGAACGGACCACGTTTAAACTGAGGAGCACTAAGATGATAGGCTGACAGAGAAGGTGTGTCGCTGTGCTATCGGTTGATTGTTAATCAGCTGATGACTCAATTGATAGACCCAGACAATGACACCTAGAGATAGTAAGTGAGCATACGTGCAAGGAGTAAATGGCAGGGTGAGAAAGAAACTTACAGCCTGAGCATGAAAAGTATTGTCTTCCTGACTTAACTTTCACTAGAGTTTTTCACTAAGTTGTTGGGATGCTAGAATTTCTCATTTTGATGTTATACCTTGAAAATAGTGATGTTTGATACCGTTTTTTAAACTTATAACATGACAACAAAGACGTGTTTTCTTGGTTGGCAGCAGAGAACAGCAGAGTGTAGCAAACATTATCAGCAAGACAGAACAAGAAAGTGCAGCTGGTACTGGTGTATCATAGCTGGGGAGAATGAGCACTGAAACAGTTTGAAATATTCAGAATCCTTGTGTATGCATAAAGTGGTAGTTTTCAAAACACTGCCGCTGAGAACTGCGTGTTCCTGGCGGGAGCTCACAAAGCTAAAGCACACTGTGAAGATGTCTGAGGCAAAATCCTGTTTAAACCCAATATGCTAATACATAATCTTCTCTGTCAGTTCAACCAACAATGATAAATGATCTTGAAAAAGGTTTGGAGTCGTAAGTGTTTATTAGACTCAGTGGGAGTAGCATTTCCTTGATACCAATGGTCAAACATTGTCATGGTTTAATTTGTTAAATATAACAGCTCAAAGTTTGATATAACGTTTTCTTACAGAGAGTTAAGGGGTGGATGCTTGCTTGTAGCTGCCAAGTAATGTATCTTCTATAATTTAAGCTTAAGTCATTGTTAAAGGGATGAATTCATGCTGTCAAGCCCAAAATATGTGCTGATAAAACTGTTTGAGTCATACATCTTAAGAAATTAAGTCACAGTTTCTATGCATCGTTCTTCAAAGGTATTTCTCACTATAGGTCGAGAATTGCACCCTCTGCTTTGTCCGACCAGATAAGTGTTACATGTATTCAATTTTCAATGTCGGGGCCAAAATGTAAGCGCTGTTGAATTTACTTTACTCCTGTGTCTCCAGAGAGAAAGTGTGTGGTTGCGGTATCCTGCAGACATTGTTCTGTCTGTCATGGTGCATCCGCTTCTTCTTTTCCATTCACCTGTCCACCAGTTGCCTCCAATAAGTCAGCCTCCATTTGACTCAGCCATCTGCCTCCCTCGCTGCATCCCATCAGCTATCAGCCCCAGTATTTATACAGGGCAGTTCACACAGCCAGGGTTTTACAGATCGTCTGCGTAATCCTTGTGCCTCAGAGCTCTATCCATTCCTAGTCCTACTTGTTTGTTACCTGCATAAAATCTGTTTTTCTTTGATGATTATGTCTAACAACCTGCCAGACTACCTGTTGTCAACATCCTGCTGTCAGTCTGATTAACATCCCTTCCTGCGTCAGTGCCTTTGGATGTTTTTGCCTGATTTGACTGCCTGCCAACTGTACTCCTGTTGAACGAATTTTGTACTCAGTTAATGCCTTTGACTTAACCAAATGTCACAGTGTCTAAAACTGGGTAGACACCAGTTGCTGCTCGATTTGTGACAGCTAGAGAGAAATATATTCCCGCTTATCTCTGACCAGGAACGCGTGGCTTGCATCTGATTTAAACTGCCAAGCACTAAAACCACATTTGATTTCTTAGGGGGGGGATGCATGATTCAGAGAAGCTGTTTTTTTAGCTCCTGAGAAATGCATCCCTTCCTCTCTCACACAAACAGAGCCAACAAATCCAAAAAGTCATTTACATTTAAACATTTCTGAGCTGAGGTCATCAGGGCCACACTTCATAATTGGGTAAGAGTCTGGCTAAATTATCTCCAAGGGCCCCACAAAGGCCTATGGTCAGTCAAATTAAATGGCTTTAGCTCTTGAAGCACAATAACTACACACATAAACTTGTTAAAAAGCAAAACTTTCAAGGTCTTTGGTGAATGTGTCAAACAGCACACTATTTACTGTAATGCCTAAATAACTGTTAATGCAACCATACACTTTTTTCTGTAATTGGAGCAGATTTATTTGTGCAGCAATACAACACATAAAGAAGGAAATAATTACAGTGTATAGCTCTCTGCTGATAGAAGGAGACAAAATAAATGAGAATGTGAAGTGGGTCTGTTAGCTATGGTGGAGTCATGGGCCCTGATCACAGAGAAAGCATTTTAGCATCTGGAGGCAGCTGTGTTTTTTGTTTTTCATGAGCAGGGACGGTTTTTTCTATGGGCAATGTGGGAGACCGCCCAGGGAGCAATCTATGTGAGGGTGCACGAGCGCCCTCCAAAAAAAGAAAAAAAAAAACAACAAAACTCGCCAGTTTTCTAGACTACCACTCATTTCCACGTCAAGTTAGTGGAGTGGGCGCTGGGGCGCCCCTATTATCACGTTTCAACCAGCAGCAGAAAGGAAAGGCGAATCCTGGCGGTTGTGGGTTGAACGGGGGTCACAGACAGGAACACAGCAGAGGTTCATAATGCTCTGCGGCGCAAGATAACGGCTTACCGGCGACAGAGAAGTCCGACTCCAGGTCCAGTAATTTCCTCTTTCATTGGTGTCATGACTGCCCAGTAGTACCTGGACAACCGAACCGTGGCGGCACACAGGTATGTGGCGTGTCAGAGGAGAAACGAGCCGTTCACATTTCTCTCTTTGTGACAGGTAACGGCCCACAAACCTCACTGCACTTTAGGGACTGTTCTTTACTTATGGAGCCGGGGGATGGTTCACCCAGGGCATAAAACTAGCCAGGACCGCCTCTGTTCATGAGAATTAAGCTTATTGCTCGCTGTCTTTGCATTGCTACACGCCCTGCATTTCTGCACTCCAGGCACCTGTCGTTCTTGCCAGAGCACTCTGAACTCTGTAAGTTGAAAAAAATTCAACTCAGAGCAGCAAAGCACCCCACGTCATCTCTGCTTTTTTCCCATTGTCCAATCCAATTAGAGACTGTGGTGGTCACGACAACAAGTTTACAATGGTAATCAACGGAGGAGAAACTGGTGGTAGCGTTTGCTGGATACTCAGAGCTATACGACTTTACAAACCACATTTACCACAGTCTCAATGAAAACTAGCAAGCCTTGAAGCATATAAGTGCAGTACTTGAAACAGCCATCATGGAGGCAAAGCTGGACCAACTGGTGGTAGTCCTTGTGATTCACCCTCTTTTTTAGAGTCTCGTGTACCCACACAGATCTCCCTTTCCCTGTGCCCAAACTTTTTGCTGACAACTTCTCATCGTCAACCCAGAGCTACAGCAACTACCCTCTGCCTGTCCATTTTAGGAACTCAATACTGATTACTGGGAAATAAATAAAGATTAACATCAAAAATCAAAGAGAAAATGGTAGATTGATTACATAGGAAGGTTAGGGTAAGGGGATAATGGGGTGGTTGCGTGGCAACAATAAATAGGCACAGCAAGCATTTTTTTACAGTGACATTCAATTAAAAAAAAAAAAACAAGGTAGTGCGTCTTGCGTTTTGCAACCTGCAAAACACTTCCTGTGTGATTGGGGCCTTAATATTCATCACTCTTCTAGACTGTAAGAAAACAACCAGAAAGGTTTTGAACTAGACCAGAGACCATTTTGTGATGAAATCACTCCAGCAGCAATACAGAGATCTGCGACTTAAAGCTCCAGTATAGGCAACATTGTTTTGGTATATTTGAGTAAAAATTTTATAATATCCTCTAAGCATAATGTAAATCAAGTGGTCTGAGACAAACAATAGGTTTCTGCA